CACACACACACACACTTACACGCTTCTGTAAAGCTTTGATTCATATGATTAGTCAGATCTCAATGGTGCATTCCTTGTGTGTTTATGCCTGATGAGATTGTAACTGGTAAGACTAGTTCAACCCACACACAGAGGAACTGGGATCAGCTGATGTACGCGACCGCATTCTGTACCGTCACTGATACTGAATGTAGTCATCAGATATACATGGAGAGGCGAGGCTGGAGTCAAAAACTACTTATTTACATGCTTTACATACTTTAGAATTAGAAAATATCCAAACACACACAAATCCACATCACAGCAGCTTGTTCGTATAGTTCTCCTGGCCTCTTGCCAATAAACATATCAGATTCCTTTCTTTTTTACAGATGAGGTTTCAACATACATTAAAGCATGCCTCAACTAAATATCAGAGTCAGTCAACTGAATAAATCAATAACTAAATGTGTCAGTTAATTGAAATGCTGCTCAGTGGCACACCTCCTCCTCTGCCAGCCACTGCCTAAGACTTAAGATGTTGGCTCTGTCCTGTATTTTTAAATGATCAGTTAGCACAGCTGGTCAGGTTTTTCCCTTTTTTTGATCAACAGTTTAATACTTTTTAACAGGATGACAACTGTACCATTAGATCCATCACACTAACTAATCTTCTCTTTACTGCAGGATCATGCGGCCAAACGACGCCAACATTGTGGGCAACGTCCACGGCGGCATCATCCTCAAGATGATTGAGGAAGCTGGATGCATCATTGGCACGCGCCACTGCAACACACAGAATGGGGTAAGAGACCTTAACTACTTTCAGAGCCTACTCTTAAGTATTTTATCATACTGCTATGGGTAATCGTCACGTTATATGGTTAATTTTAGTAGCAAAATATGTGAAATCTTACTCCTTAATGTTCCTTTTCAACACGGGAATAAACAGACTAAGATATAATGTGCATAATAGTCTGCAGTGCAGAAATTGTGTCGCACAATAAATGTGAACTGCTTAAGAAAGAAAAACATTACTATCATTACTTACATTAACATCTTTTTTTATTAATATGGAAATAAGGAAAATTGAGCAAATGAAGAATGGTAAATGGGAAAAATAATCTGGTTGTTTCTCAAAAAAAGCATTGGATGGGTCATTGCTTTAAGGAATTTAGAGCAAAAAAGCTTTTAGAAAACACTGTTTAAAGAACAGAAAATGTTTATTAACACAATGTGTGCAACATTAAATGTATTCACTTATTTAATTTGAGATAAATGTATGAAAACCATGACAAATTCACCTTGTGTATTTACAGTATGTAACAGCTGTAACAGCATTAATCATGCATTAATGTGGTTTTTATTCACTGTTGCCTCACCCAGATTTTTTTTCCTGCTCACTGTCTTAGCTTTACTTTTCACCTGGTGAACTTTAGCCTGCTTTTGACTTCATTTGATTGTGATCTCGCCTGATAGAACTATGTGATCAAATTGTGCTATGTCCGATTTCACTGTTCAGATAAGACAAACACATTTTTGATTTAACTCCACCACATTAAAGACACATTGAACTATTGTAATAAAGAATGAAACTATTAACTTTATACTTCTGAGCTAGTTAATTAATAGTATAGTATACTGTGCAGTATTTATACATTTAAAATGATCTCCTGTGTTTTCATATCAAATTCCGTGTTTAATGGTTATGTTACATTTCGGTGGTACCATCTCAATCAATCAATCAAACTTTATTTATATAGCACCTTTCCTACATACAAGTTAGTGCAAATCAAAGTGCTTTACGTTATTATAAAAAAAATGTCAACAGTAAAAATCATAGATTCCCTTCCACTTCCCTTTTTGTGAACAGTTGCTCCATCAGTTTACACTTCACATAAAAACACCCTGTGTGAACCAACAAAATACAGAATTACAGAAGAAAGATCTCTTCATAATCAGTTGTATTGTATTTCCTCACAGTGTGTTTTACTGAAACAGTAGGCTGTCACGTCTGTGCTTAAGATCTGAGTTTCCTCTGTACCTGCCCGTCTTTTGATTTCTTGCTGATTGTAAAAGTTGCACATATTTTGTGTGTATTTATCTATAACAGACATCATGGTACCTTTAAACTCCAAATCAGATTTTGAACCTACACTCTTGATGTTGGGGCAATCTTAACTACTGAACCACCATGCTAACTGACTACAGTGGCTGTAGCCATGGCAGTGTGGCACTGAAATATCTTTTTCCCCAGACAATGTTTCTGAATGACTTTGGTGATCCCCTGGATTTTCCTCTCGCGCCACCATGAGGTTGACCTTTTTGGTTTTGAGTAAAATGTTTTTCCAACTGTAAGGTGATTGCCATGAACTTTGGTACAGATATTCACAACCCCAGAGAATATGACCTTGTTGATACTTTTCCTCTGTCACCCTCATCAGGTCAATATTTCAGTTTACTATTTATTTAATAACTGATATTTAAACTTTATTTGAACACTAGATAATCCAATCCATATTCAAAACAAGACTATATTTAAAATGTAAATATAAGATTATGATATTTACTTAGGGTTTCTATTATTAATGCTTGTTAATGCTGTTGCTTCCTGTACTGGCCATCAGTAGAGGGTGATGAAAGTCAGTGTGTACTTTCGTTGGTGTTGTGAATGTGTGTACGATATGTGTTTAAAAGTTATATAGAGCAAATTCACTTGTCACTGGATGTTGCACTAATGTACCAGTATCTTAGACCAAAACAAACAAATAAAATTCACCAAAACAGATTTAGTCTTTCCTACAATAATCAATGCTGGTTTGCTCAAAATAAACCCCTAATTCACAGACAGGCTGTAATGGTGCAACATAAGCTAACGTTAATCCTTGCGGACAAAATGCCAGTCGAAGTATGTCCAGTAAAAGTGCTTGTTTTTGCCATGCTAATATTAAGGAAGGGATCCCTACAAAGATCTTTTGTTTAACCAGAAAAAAACTTAAAATTGCTCGCCACCTGCCTACCTGCATAGACAGGAAAGGTAATTGAAGTAAGATTTTGTTACTCTTTCAACTGTTCCAACAATAAACGCTGCTTTAGTCGAAATAAATCCTTAATTTACTGTCTCTTTACTCAGCTGCACTCAGAGCAGACCAGCAATGTAAACAAAGCACAGAGAGTATCTTTACATAGCTAATAGTTGTTTGCTGATATATTAATGATTTAAATCTCATATGTTTAATGTTTGTCTGTTTCTCCTCTGTAGGACCGCTGTTTGGCAGCTCTGGTTCGGGTGGAGAAGACAGAGTTCCTGTCCCCCGTGTTCATTGGCGAGGTCGCCCACGTCACCGCTGAGATCACTTACACCTCCAAGCACTCACTGGAGGTGCAAGTCAAAGTCAAGGCTGAGAACATCCTCACAGGTGACTAATTTTCTTTTACAATGGGCACATAACCACATAGTGAAGGACAGGCAACTGTTTGTTAATATGTTCAAGTAAGTAATGAACTGAAATATAATTCTAGGCGAATTATTAAAAACACGTCAAATATCATAATCCTGTTACACCTCAGGTTAAAATATGATGAATTTAAACAATATTTTCGCACTTTGGGTGATTTTGTGGGAACTTGGTGCCTTATCCGCGCAGCGGCGTTCACCTTTAGCCTCATTCTCACCCTCATCGCTGAGGAGGAAAAAGAATGACAGACATTCAGGTTCTCAGGTATTCACAGCAGGAAGACAAACACACACTCAAGGATACACACTCACATACACACATATACAAACACCTGCCCCTATAATATGTGCTATGATAATAAAAATTGCATAAAAACTTAATCTATTAAGTAGTTATCAAAGTTGATTTTCTAACAATCAATTAATCAAATAATTGATTCAGTTCTGGTGTCTTTTTTCTCTTCACGTCTGTCTTTGCTAAAATTGTGACACATAAGGGAGACAAGCCTTAAAACAAATAACTATTTAAATAAACATAATGCTTGGGGTGTAAAGGTCAGCTGCATCCATAGTGTACGAAGTGTCTGGATGAAATAGATGTGTCAGCATTAGCTTAGCAGAGCTAATAACAGATTTAACTTGACCTGGTCCAAAGAACATAGAATTCAGTGTTAGGGCAGATTTCTACGGCTCATATCATTTTAATATTTCTAAAAGTTCAAATCTTTCACTGTGTAAGATCTTACCAAGGCAGCACTATATGTGTCACACTAATGTAATATTGTGTAATTCAGTTTAAAAGATGATACTTCAAGAGGTTCAGTTAATAGCAACCATGTATTAATTAATACAGTAGCGTATATACTGTCCTTTTGTCCCCTTTTGCAGTTTTAATGTAAATTTGACCAGATTTACTGTACTGCAACAGATTCTATGAAACAGTTATTAATGTTGAGGATTTAAAAAAAAAATGTGACAAGACTGTAAAATGCACGATACAGATATTGTTCCAGTTGTATTTCTATATCACACATCTGAAACCATTTCCACTAATTACCCCGTTCCAGTGAATATACAGCAGACATTCTGACTAACACAGGTGACATTAATAACATTAACGATGGCTCAGCTCTATTCAGCATGACAGTGAGCCAGCATTAACAATACCAGGACTCTGAAACTCTTTTTTCCTTTGATAATTTATACCTTTGACTTATCCAAATGAAAAGGCCTGTTTTATCCCCTGTATTGGTGTGTAGACAGTAGAGATGACAGGAAATTACCAAGTCAAACTCACCTTTGTTTACACACTTTGTTTCTTAATCCCACTGTTCCCAGACCAAAATACAGTTTGCACCAAATTTTACACCCCGCTTCACCAGACTTCTAATCCTCATTATTGGCATCAGTTCTTGGTCATCTGCTATCTGTTAAAGAGATTACCCTGAGCCTGTAAAATGCTGCATGCACCTTATTAAATTTTATGACATTTTACCAGAGCATTTATTCTTCAAACTGAACACTGAGTGCTGTGAATTTGGCTTAAATAATATGAAGCTACTGTGGAATCATTCTTCTAATTTAGTCACGTACTGTATATATTGTAGATTTTTAATTTTATTGTAAGTTAAATCAAATTACCGACTAGTGCTGGGTGGTATGACCTAAAATCTTTATCACACACACACACACACACACACACATATATATATATATATACATATATCATATATAATGAAGGCTTTTTGGCCCCACAAATCAATATATGAAGGAATCAGAATGCATGAAACAAATTTTTTGAATTTTCTTAATAAAAAAATAAATAATGCACACAACTTTAGCTTTGCTTCCTTTTCAAAGCAAAATATTTTAAAATAGTTGTATAAACACTATAAACTGAAATAAAATACTCAAAGTATTTATGTATTCAAAGAGATATTTCTCAAATGTTCTATTGCACAAGAAATAAATGAGTTACAGCAGTTGTTCAAGCTTTGCAATGGGAGGGTGCTTTATGAAAATTTCATTTCATACAGAAACTTAAAACCACCCATCAGTATTACCTACTATCCCACTGTCACTTGTTTGTTTTTCTCCCCTGTGTATGTTCTGCTGTGTGATCAGTAGAGGGCAGCACACAATAAGTAACGCAGCCTTGAGAAGCATGGAAGCTGCTTTCATGAGGTGCTGCATTACAAGCTGTGACAGGGGAATAGAAACTAAGAGCCATGTTGGTTTCCAGTTTTAGAATGTTTGCCAAGTGATGCAGTCTGTAATTCGTGTCTATTATTAAGATATGTACACATTAAAGCATGCACACACACATACATGTATGCAGGCTTACACACACACACACATAATCCAGAGTCCCTTGAGTAAAGACGCAGGGAAGATCACATTGGGTTGACCTAGCTTTATCTCTGAACCTTTAAATGCCAGTGGCAGCAGCGATGCACAGACTGTCTGTGACAACCAAATGTAATGTGCTGACCGTTCTGTGTTTGAATTTGCGTCGAAGCGGGAAAGATGATGTCTACACCTATTAATACATGTTCAGACACAATTAATTTTATAGGGGGAGTCTTAGTTTTTTGTTTATTTTCTTTTTTTTCTGAATTTGTAGGTAAGAGGTACTGTAGCATCAGAGCGACCTGTCTGTGTTCAAGAGAAGAGAGACAGAAGGAGGGAGGGAAAGACAGATGTGAGGAGAGAGGCTGACAGACATATCGATGGGCAAAAAAGATAGCGGAGGGGGAAGAAAGAGTGAAAGTAGGAAAGAGATAGAAAGAAGGATGAAGGAAAGGAGGTGTGAGAAACAAAAGAAGTATCCCCTAGACAGCCGTTGCCCTAGCAACAGGCTTGTACTGGTTGGTTGGCTGGTTGCTGGGCTGGAAGCAGGTTGACGGAGGCGGAGGCAGAGATATGAGATGACAGGTGGAGAGCGGCGTACATACATACAGGCATCAGCACGGACAGCCTGCTACAGTACATGGCCTGTCAGGAAGGACCCCGAAGAGGGGAGATCAGGAAGAGGGCTGATGGAAAGAATGCACTCAAGGCACCGTTCGGTTTGATGCTCGTTACAGGATTTGTGATTCAGTGCAGTGATAACATGAATCCAGGGTTTATTCATATATACTGTATATTTTCATATATTGGGTAAAATCTGTGTTAGAAACAATGTTAGTGTTGTAAACTGCCTTCGTTTTGCCAAGACATCCTGATATACTTTGTTATGAATATCAGATATTTGCACTTTTTGAAGCATATTTTAACATTTTGTTTTCCCAAATTAGCATACACTCTCACTATATGAGCTTTTTAGTTCAAAAATGCTTGTACATTATTCTGTAATAAAATTCAACTTAAAGCAGTAATTCATTAATATGTTTTAGTATCGGAAAATTATACACTTTTCCCACATGTTCTGTTCATAGTTAAGCAGTGAACAGCTGTGCATATTTAACTAAAAAAAGAGTTAACAGTTCTGAAGACTAGTGTAGGTTCAGTGTCAGGGCAGTGTGGGTGTAGCTTTGTACTTTGCTGTTGAGCTCTCTGGAGGCTGCGTGGGCCAAACACAACATCTGTGATGGGATTTGCTCATTTTATAGCCCAAATTCTATATACGAACTCTTGCCGTCACCCTGATTCATATGCAACAGCATCATGTGTCAGTTTAACAAAATGAAAAAGTACAACACAGACTATCCATCTACTCAAAATCTAGGAAAATGAATCAGAATAATAGTATACAAATGTTATTTTTTTCAGTGAGCAGATGGGTTAATGTCCTCAAATCAGAAATACAGGCAGCCTCAACATCAAAAGGAGAGCCAGAGGAGAGGCTGCGCCTTGGTGGTCTATTAGGTCATAGCTGTAGGAAGTAGGTCACATTTGTGTAAATGTATGGGTGTGTGCGTTTCATGTGACATTTATTCTGTGTGAATAAATTATTGAACACATGGTTTGTTTAGGTCTTAGATGATGGATGTGTGCAGGAGCTCATTCATATGTCAATAACTGTGAGAGGTTACGTCAGATGTTTGAATTTCTCTTTGCGGCTTGCATTCAGACTTTGTAGATTTGTGTTTGTGTGGTGCACGTGCGCGTGTGTAACACAGTATGTATATGCACAGTGGGTGTGTGCATCCGTACTGTATACATGCATGTGTGCGTTGGTATGTGTGTGTGATTTCATCAGTGTTTGGCCCTTTAAAAGGTTCCTGCGGGGCCGAGGGGGAAGAGAAGATAACGGGAGCAGACATTATTTGCTTCTGTCATGTCGGCTTAGCGTCAGGCCTCACACACTGTGGCCCAGTCAGACACGGACGCCAAGTAGATGTACCTGCACACATGCTCCGACAGGACGCGCGCACGTAGCCAACACATACTGACACACACATGCGGTTGTGTAGGGACAACTTGCGTGCATACAGAGTCTGATAAGCACATGCTGACACATTCTGCATAGAAAAAGTCACACACCTACACATTCTCACACTCACACAGATGCACACTAAGCACACGCACTTCCCTTCTTCCTAAAACAAGTCTCATACTGAGGCAGGACTGGCAGCGATTTACACGTTCCTGGCCAGATCTTTTCCCAAGAAAAAAAAACTAGAGGATGGAACAGGAACAAAGAAGGAGGGAATGTTACTGTTTGGTTGTAGAGTTGCAGATGTTGTTTCTGTTTATTTTTCATGCACCTTTGCGTACATTAGAGGATCTGCATTTGTGCAGCAATGCGTGTTTTTGCAGCTTTGTGTATATGTTACCGTGCACGCTCCTTGCGACAGTATGTACATTACACTCTATGTGCATGCATCTTTGTATTTATGCATTCATGTTTACACACATGTGGAATGTGTCTGTGTGTTGGGGGAGGAGGCAAGCATCCAGGTTCCACAGTCAGTCAGGCAGCATCTCGTCAGGCAGGCCTCAGTCACGGCCCCCAAGGGG